ACCTGTCGTGCTGACGTGCACAGGCCCACGAGGTGGAGGCTTAAGAAATATTTCTAGATGAAAAGTTATCACGGACATCATCTGGAGCTTATCACGTCCCAAGGACTTCACTTTCGTCATCCTAGCTGACCAGCAGTGGAGCCAGGACTCGAATGCAGCTCTCTCTCATGCCAAGCCAGCCCCTGAGCTACTACCGACTTGGCCTCCCTCCAGCCCTTTGGGGAACTGGGCTTGGCATAGCTGCCCTCCCTCAGCATGGGGCCCGCCCAGGTTGAGGTCCCACTCAGTTTGCTCCCTGGGCCAGCCCGACCCTCGACCATCTATCCCCATGGAAGGGCAGGCCAGATCCTCCGGGTGAGGCCCTGAGAAGTGTGGGCTGGGGTTGGCATCTGGCAGGCCCTGGCAGGGTCATGCTCAGGCCTCCTGGGCTTTTGTGCTGGGAGCTGTGTGTGGGAGGGGTCAGTGGGGGGAAGAGAACCACAGGTCAATTTGCACCAATTGAACCTCTGACCCCATATATCCCCTGACCCCCACATGGCCTACTTATACGCATGCTCATGCCCTCACCAGCGCGCGCGCGCGCGCGCACACACACACACACACACACACACACACTCATTGCCTCTATGAGTCATTTCCCAGCTGCTCAAAAGGGTGGGGAGGCTAATTTGTTCCACTCAGGCGCAGGGCTTCCTGCCCTCTGTTGGCTCCGATCTTTCCTTTAAAATCTTTTCTAGAGTTAGGGTCTCACTATATTGCCCAGGGTGGACTCAAACTCCTGGGCTCAGTTGATCCTCCTGCCTCAGCCTCTCAAGTAGCTGGGAACTCAGGTGTGTACCACCATGCCTGGCACCAGACCTTTCTAAGCAGCCCCTAAGCAGATGCCCCCCCCCCAACAAACTGGTGTTTGGCCCTGCTGCTCACTCTGGGAAAGTCCTCCACCTCAGAAACTACTCTGGGGATGCTTCCTCCCCAGCTACTCTTTGGAGATCCTTCTCCAAAGCTAGACTGATCAACTGGTGTTTGGGGTATGGGGCATTTGCTTAGGCGCTTCTTAAAAAGGTCAGATCCTTTACTACACTCACATCTAAGCCTACCTCACCTGCCCTTGGACACGTCACCCCTGCACACAGAGCTGCCTCCCTTCCCCTGCCTGCTCCTCGAAGCAGTGCGTCCACGGAGAGGCTGCCAAGAGGCCTGCTCACACCTGATCCTGGACCTGCAGAGCTCCAGGCAACCTGGCTATCCATTCCCTCCATCCGCCCCCAGCCATCCGGGGACAGTGGGCTTCAAGTCCTCCCGACTTGAGACAAGGGAGCTGGGACACGGTCTAGCACTACAGGAGAGGCTTTTCAGCAACAATCTGAAACCTGGAGGAAAGAATGGCTGACACATGGCTCCTCTGCTCCCATGACCCCAGGCACGACCCCTTCAGCACCTGGGCCCTGCCGGTCACTCTGGGAAAGTCCTACCCCAGAGACTACTCTGGGGATGCTTCCTCCCCAGCTACTCTTTGGAGATCCTTCTCCAAAGCAAGACTGATCAAGAACTTGCCAACCTCAAAAAAGCTAAGTGTTGACAGCAGAACTTACCGAAAGGTGGGCTGGAGGGACCCTGCTCTGCTGCTCTGGCGTCACAGCCATCACGGCCACATCTGCAAACCACAGTCCCTCATGGAAGGGTCTCTGCAGTCCACTTTATAGAAGGACCCTCACCCGGCCAGGTTCGGTGGCTCAAGCCCATAATCCCAGCACCTTGGGTGGCTGAGGTGGGTGGATCACTGGAGGTCAGTAGTTAGAGACCAGCCTGGCCAAATGGTGAAACCCCGTCTCTACTAAAAATATAAAAATTAGCTGGGCGTGGTGGCACATGCCTGTAATCCCAGCTACTCAGGAGGCTGAGGTAGGAGAATTGCTTGAACACGGGAGGCAGAGGTTGCAGTGAGCCAAGATCACGCCACTGCA